GAAGGAGCTCTGCACATTTATTTATTTCTTTTATTTGTTTAAGCAATTTATATGGCCGCCCAACTCACGGTGACTCCGTGCGGCTTACAAGGTAAGAGGATTAATTGCATTCAGGTAAGATGATTAATGTACAAGTAGTCCTCATTTAGTGACTGCAGTTGGGACCGGCAACTTGATTAAGCGAAGCAGTCGGTAAGTGAAAATCACATGACCATGACTGTGCTTACAATTTTACTTCAGTTTTCCTTTGTTTTACAGTGTCAGCAGGACATGACCCAAACAGCCAGGTGAAACACAAAGGACTATTTGGTAGCAAAATTAGGGATAGTTCTGGGTTTGCCCTAAGGATGACAGAGCGTCCAGAGTTTTGCAGCCCCTTCAGGTTCCCTAATCAGGTAAGTAGTTGATCTAAGAAAAGATGCCAAGCTCCCTGTCTAGACATTGACAAAGACTAAGGAGTGTCTCTTCAACAAAATGATGCAAGGTGGTGACCTCTGTGGACAGTCCCAGAAATTGCTTGAGTTGGAGGCTAGCCTTACTTACCGCTCTGAGATTATAGATCAATAAATGTCAGTTTTGCAACACATCCAGGAGCACTTTTCTCTTTAGCAAAAAATTTGGAGAATGAGGAGGGAGAAGGGTTTGAACCCCACCCCTGTGTACATAAAAAAGGGAGTACAATAAGGGAGAATATTCCAATGCACATGTGAAGGAGCAGCTTTAAAGATTTATAGCATTTAATTTGCTTTTTCAGGAAGAGAATGCAGAAGAATATTCATCTGCTAGTAAATTTTTGGGTCATGTCTGTTGAAGAATCTGTCAAACTGCGGTTTCATTTATTGCGGTCTAATTTTCATATCTGCATACTTGTAAGAATAATAGTGCCCCCTCCCAGTATACCAGTTGATGCCATCAGCGTAAGAGGCATGTTCTCCTTTGTGATACAGGCCATTCAGATTGGAAGAGTGGCAATTACTGTACCACCAGCCTCCTTTGAAAGTTACGGCACAATTTCCAGAATAGTTATCATTGTCTCTGTCTTTTGTAGAGAATGCCTGGTTGTTGTGTCCCGAGAAAGAATTACCTAAAAGGAGAAAATCACAGGGAAGCACTGAGTTAAGGGGATCACAGGGAAGCCCAGTCAAGATGATATAGTGTGTGCTTCACCGGTCTCTTGAAGCCATGGTTTGCTTAACCTGGCTTGCTGAATATACCACCTGGAGGTCCATCTAACAGGCCATGTTATAGATCATGATTGATAAACCAGAATGCCTGAATTCCATTATCACATTAAGCTAAGGGATGGGCAACTTCCCTGAGTCTGGGACTGCATTTTTCTCCCTGGACCAGTTGAAGGGCTGCCAGGTCTTCTGTTGATGTGCTGATAGCATTAGGAGCAGGACTGAATTTTTCTTCTCCCTACTCTCTGCCTGGGGAGGTTTTAAGAAACGATGTCACTGAAAAAAAGCCACTTTACTGCTGAATTGCCACTGATTGCCCACTCCTACACTAATCCAAGGAATTGGAAATATCTTCCTTATCATATATATATATTTAAAGGTTTTGAGATTTTTAGTTAGGAAAAAAATGAATTCAAAGATTATCTAGATTTTGAAAAAAATATAATATAATGTGGTGGATAGCAACAGAGAGCAAGGCTATCAGGAAGGAGGGGGTGCATTCCAGGAGGGGAAAGGAAACAGAAGACAACACAGTCCACAGGGGGAGTGTGGGAAGTGGAAGAGGTTCAGGATAGCCTAGAATCTCCCAGCATATTTCCACTAGTTGTAGTAGTATAGATTTAGCCTGGCAAGATTCTGTCTATATGGTGTAAGCAAATAAAGGAACTGCACTCAACTGGACTGTTTCACTGTTGTTCTTGGGCTAAGCCTGACATATAATAATCGCAATGTTAATAAATATTATAGGTCAAGAATATTTATTAATAAATCAATTTCTATTCCACATCTTCTACTTGGGGTCCTCCAAATGACTCCCACTTCATCAAAGTCTGAATGAAACAATAAAATGATGACTCAAAGTGTCATGTCCCAGGAAGAGAACTTCAACTCACAATGAAATTGACTTTGGGTTGGTTCAAGAAGGAGAAGATGAAGTGTTTCTTTAGCCAAATCACGATTGTATTAAGAATTCGCTATACAAAATGGGAAGGAGAATGGCCACAACTTCTCAGATATTTCTTTCTAAATCAATCTATGAAAAATACATTTTCATTGGCAATTGTGAAATGCAGCCATGCTGAAATTGTGAATCTCTTCACACAACGTTAGTGATGATTGCTACAGTAAAACCCATATTCAAAGCCTCTGATGCTCAGGTGATGGGGACAATCCACCAAAGGTGGTTCATACTTTCATATGCTGCCTGATAGCTTCTGGGATCTCCTGCCCTGGTTAGATATTGTGGGGAAAAAGTCTCTGGACCATATATTTTGAACTTATTCAGTAAAAATGGGCTGGGCAACCTGTGGCTTCATCCCTCCACAACACTCCACTTAGGGATAGTAGAGCCCCTCAGAATGAGTTAGAATGACATTTTTGGATCATTTTTGCAGTTTGTGGAGGATAAATGGCCAAACAGCTGCCTGAAGACTTCAATAGGCTTAAGCCATCCACTATACCCCTTCATATTTGTACTCCCATATTGTCCCCTGTGATAGGCCAGAAAGGAATTAGGCAGCTCCTGGCTTAAAATGTTTCTGCATTCTGCATCAGATCAAGTGACATTTATGTTTTTTATATTTGCTGTAAGAAAGTACTCAGATGAAAAGGCATTCTCTGGATTACTCACCCATGTTACTATCCAAAGAGGAGCCCACTGTTAGCCTGTAGTTTTCACTTTCATTTGCGATTCTGAAACTGGAATATGTCGCAAAGGTTCTGGAACTGTTGAAATCTTCCAGATCAATCCGCAACTGCTGGGTTCCTGAACCCAGAGGGATAGATGCTATTAGAGAATGAACAGTGGCGATGCAGAAGTCCTTTAAGGAAAGCCTATTGATTATCACAGTGAACAAGTACAAAATGGGATGATGGGTCATTCTAGTCCAAAGGCAAAGAGAGCTAAACGACATGGAGGAACAGGATCCCAGGAGCACAAGTGTTGGCCCAGGTGAATTAAACCACTGTCGGGATTTCACTTGAACTTTGTCTGGAGTTTTTGCGCAGTTAGCCAGAAAGAGATCCTCTGCATTGCCCCTTTTTATCTTTATTTTCACAAAGCCAATCTTTCAATAACTTTCTACCTACATACGATGGGTAAGGCAGTGAGGAGAGATATAGATTGCTGCTGGGGTGTCCTGGCTCCATGTAATTTTTCAAAAACAGGAGAATGTATGGTCCCTCAAGAGAAAGAAGGCAACTTTCTCCTTTTTCCCACTTTCTGATTTATTTTATTTTTGGGTTAGTGATCAACCCTCTCGAGGAATCATGCTGCATAAATCTCTGAGACCATTTCCAAATTACAGAAAAAATATTTTTCCCAGATGTATCAGTTTGGAATGTACCATTAATCTCTATGGAAGGAAATGGAACTTAGGTCTTACAGACTGACATGAGCAGATCAGAGTCTTTCTTTTATGCATATTGTGTCCCTGTGATGCAAAGAGAGTCTCTGGTAATATTAAAGGGTGAATCTGGAAGGACTGATACTCATCTTTCCTTATAAATTCTGAAAAAGTTAAGCATTATCCATGTAAAAGGACTTACGTATCAAATTGAGCATCAGGTAGAAGAGGAGATTTGGGGCTTACCAGAGCTGGTGAGAAGATAGATCTTATCATTGCCCAGCCAGAATTCTGATCCTTGCCTCCCAAATCCTTTCTTGTATGATTCCCAGTCACGGTAGAAATCAACCGATCCATCCTGCCGCCTCTGGAAGACCTAGGTGGAAAGAGAGGGAGCGATATCTCAGTGTCCGCCTGATGGAGAAGCTGCTTTCCTAATCTTACCCCATTTCTGAAATGGGGGGGTGCCTTTCAGTCTGGTTTTGAACAGAATGATGACCTCTAAGCCTTGCTAGCAAAACCCTGAGACAATGCGTCGCTGTTTGTTGCTGTTTAAAAAGCTATTTTAATGTCTCAAGCCTTAGAATAGGTGAAATATATTTTATACCCTCCCAAAACTAAAATGACAAAAAACCTAGAAAATTATCCTGCAGCCCATGGTGCTGAAAAAAAGTGAAGTTCCTAGCATCCATATAAATGTTTTAAATCAACAAATAAATAAATAAATAAATCCAAAGGTTGTCCACCATGGTAGAAAGGCCCATGAAGAACACGCCAAATGTGGGGTAGTGATTAGAGCATTGTTGGACTAGGATCAAAGAAGCCTGGACTCAAATCACCATCGAACCATGCAACTCAATATGTAGCTTTAGGCAGATTACTCAGTCAACCTAATTTATCTTCTTAAAAGATGCTGTGATAAATTTATTGCTAGAGAAAAGAATCCTGCCGGACCTTGGAAGGAGCACAGGGAGAGATGCCAATATACTTTTTTCCAAGCTGGGTGAAACAATCAGTCAGGGATGTCTGCAGGGGAGGTTGCAAATAGTTAAGATGGATGCCAACTCAACTTTTTGCCCCTCCCCCCCAGATGGTTGGAATTCAGATTGGAATAATAAATGCAGAGGAACTTCCCTTGTAAGGAATGAAGGTAGGGAGGGTACGGATGGCCCTGCAACTACCAATGGTGCCCTCTCTCTGAGCTCTGTTGTTATCAAGAGGAGGCAATGCTACGCAGGGCTGCTCTTCTCTCTTGCTTGCTTCCTGATGGACGGCACCCAATCATGAGGGATGAAGACCGTAAAGTGGGAAGCTCCTATCCCATATATAGGCAGGGTTGGATTTTGGGACGTGTGATAGCCATGTTTTAGGACTTCCAGTCTGTTCAATCTCACAATGACAGGGAAGCACGTCTTCAGTTTTCAGCTGTCCTGGTCTCAACTCCCAAGAGTGGACTTGGGAGCTTCATTCAGCCCTGGGGCTGCAAACTGCTTAGCTGAGAGCAGGATGATGGGCACCTGAATAGCTGCTATAATTTTGTAACAAGAATGGCAGCATGAAGCCCGCTTGTTTAAAAGCTTAATTATCATAAGATGGAGCTTCTCCCTCTTCTGTTATGTTCAAGTACTTATTATCTCTTCCTCCTCCTCCTCAGGCTCCAGCTTACCAACCAGCCCCCTCCATCCGTCTCCATGTCACAGAAAACCATCATGGGGTTCCCCTTGGTTGGGTAGATTGTGTACCAGCCACTCAGGGTCTCCCCACGTTCTAGGAGGTCCTTGCAGTTTCTGGCTTCTGTCTCTGGGGGGAAGAATAGGGAGGAATGGGTAGGTCATTTCAGGCAATCTCTGCTGTCAAAATATATGTGGTGGGACAGCTATTGGTCTCTGTGCAAGACCCGCAAGTGTGAAATCACCATCATCTCTGCTGTAGGAATATGAATGCTTGTTGTAATGCAATGATCTCATGGAGATCCCTGGTAAAAAGTTATTAAACAAAGAAAGGATGATAATTCCATGGGAATACTGTGGAAGGCATCTCTAGAACTGTTGGGTTTACTGGCTGGGGATCATGGGAGTTTGAATCCCACACTTCAGAGAGTACAGGTTGAGGAAGGCTGATACATACAAATAACATGTATCATAATGATCCTCAGTCTATGATTAATGAGTTTGTACTAGTCCAAGCCTCATTCTTGAGATGGCTACTATACCCTCTTTTACAATGCATTTTCTTTCTCTTCATCAGGTAAGTTCTCAGATTTACTATATAAGTCTGAGTAAAATTTAAAATTTGAAAACATACATCTGTAATCTCTTCTGAAGGATTTTCAACAGTATCATTTGAATTTTTTCTTATATTTTGAGTGTCTTTTTATACAATACATATTCAATAAATATCTATTTTTTCACCAGACCATGGTAAGCCTCTCCTACGCTAGATGCAAAGCGTTGCACTGTCTCAGAACTAATCAGCTTTGTATTCACTGACATTCACTAAAAATACATAAAAATACAACCTTCCAGATGGTTCAGTAAGTACTTCTAGTTTTAATTTCAGGTATTTGGGGAGGAAATAATCAGGAAGAAAGAGAGAGCCATCAACTCTTATCAAACCAAAGTCTTTCCATCTGCTTAGATTAATAACTTCTACTGCTTTTATATCTGATTGACTGCCAACACTTCCTATATAAGATTCTGGAAATTATAGCTTGATGAGAATATCGAGATTATAAAGACTATTTAGGTGTCTTATAAAGTGTAGCTAACTAAAAGAAAGGTGCTTTTCCAACTTGAGCTATTCAATGCATTAAATGATGACTGACAATGCACTGTATCCATTAAGATAGGTAGTCTGCTGTAGATGACGGAGTCTGTAGTCAACACATATAGGAATGTGCCAGGCCAGAGGACGTTGATGCGCATCCTAAGCAAGCTTTCTGCACCAGACACTTCCAGGTTTCTTGGCCTTCAACTCCCAGAATCATCCAGCTACCGTCTGGGGGGAAAGGCTGAACTAACCCAACAAGGAAGCTATTGAGGAAGAGGAAGTGGAGGCATACCTTTCTGTTGACAGTTGGGAACATTGTCTAAGCTGCAGGCATCTCCTGTAAGAAAAAAATAAGTAATTTCTTGTGCAGTGAATAAACAGAAAGACAGAGGTTTCACCAGCTCCATACATAAGAACAACCACTTGTGTGCCAGTGTACTGTCCATTCCTCATAGTGATGGACTGCTGTCATCATCTGGTTCTGTATTACAAGCAGTTCGACCAAGGACAGCATGAAATAGTGTGTGATTGGTGGCATGCAGCTGGACCAGTGCTTCCCTTTTGATCCAGCTCTTGCACAACCCCTAATCTCAGTCAGTAGAAGTACCTTTGTCTCCTTTGTCTCCTTTGGGTCCAGCTTTTCCAGTTATCCCAGCAGAACCTCTTTCACCTGAAGAGGAGGAGGAAGAAAAGGAGAAGAAGAAGAAAAAGCAGCTTAGATCATCTTAGGAGCATCTAAATAAGTCTAGAAAAAGACTTCTGAAGACAGACATTGCAATGATGAGTACATTACAGCTGCAAGAGAGCATCAAAGAGATTTAGGTTTGAGACGATGGCTTCATATTTTAGCTCAGGATTGTTGGGAGTCTAGATCTGTAGGAAATTATGCTGGATATGTAGGTCAGTGGTAACATTGCCTGATTCCTGAAAGGAAGAAAGCTCATGGGCTTAAGAACAGCTCACAGGACAAAATTATGTAGTCCACCTCCCTTAGAAAAGTTTCCACAACACCAGAGAACCCAGCCAGGGAGGCACCTTCTGACTACTTTGCTAAGACAATGACCTTTGAGAATCCTCTTACTGAGCAAAGAGCCTAAGACTGTCATTTCCTATCTAACATTTGGGAGAAAGGGAATTACTTTCGTCCCTCTGCCAGCAACTTCCCCTCTTCTAGGAAGCAGTTTATAAATGCAAAGCCTGATTCCCACTGTTGTGATGAAGGAGAACAAATGAGTGGCTGCTTCTACCTGGTGTGACATCTTCAATGGGGGAGGGCATTTACTCACCTGGGGGCCCCTGAGGACCAGGGTCACCCTTTAGCCCTGGTGATCCATTTGTTCCTGGCACACCTGGAATTCCAGGTATCCCTGCCTGACCCTGGAGAATAATCTTGTCACTTCCACATTGTGTTAAGCCCTGCAGCTCTGGAACAGGAGAAAGAGCATAAATAGGACACAACATGAAAAACAGGAGAGAAGCAATGTGGCCTCCTTAGGGAGTAGCAGGTTCATATTATTTTATTTATTTATTTCTATTTCAAATTTAGACACCGCCATCTCATGAGGAAGTGACTCTGGGCGGTTTACAATAAAATATTAAATAAAGGTAGCCCTGTGTGCAATGCTAGAAAATCAGGATGGAGCAGTGGGTAAGGTAACTGGGGTGCAAAAGAGGCACAAAAGCTCTTCCACTCTTATTTTTCCACATAAAAAGTAATTCCTGTCCTGAGCTGTTGGAGAAAACTGAGAACTCTTCTCTAACACAAGAGTGCATATTTCTTTTTAAAACATTTCCTTGATTTGCTTTGACCTACCTACCCCCCTTTTTTTGGGGGGGGGGTGCCCAAGTCAGTCTTGACTCCTGGCAATTGCCTGGACAAATCCCTGCACCTTTCTTGGCAATGTTTTTCAGAAGTCGCCTTTGCCTTCTTCCAAGGGCTGAGAGAGTGTGACTGGCCCAAGGTCACCCAACTGGCTTTGTACCTAAGGCAGGACTAGAACTCATGGTCTCTCAATTTCTAACCTGATGCTTTAATCACTACATCTAACTAGCTCTCATTTTCACCCTTTACACAGTGTGAAACCAGGAGCTTCCACATAAAGCACTGTTCATTAGGAGCCCCTGTCTACATCTAGAAGATGTAGGATTAACAGTTCTTGTTCTCATGTTTACCTTCTCAAATATATATATAAAACTACTTAGGCAAATACCTATAACCTCAAAGGTGTTACTTTATCACTTTTCAAAGAAATTCAAAACCCAAGCTAATATATGCTCCGCACAAGCAAAATGTCATCTGAAAATTAGAGCTCAAGATCAATTCTTTGTTTTTATTTATTAAAAAGTAACATATTGATCATTAAAAACTATCCTGAAAGTGCTGCTTCTTTTACAGGAACTCCTTTCCCTCAAAAAGCATCACAACCCAGCTTATCAACTTTCTTTCCCCAACCTTTAAACCCCACCAGCACCACCAAGAAATGCTCAGTCTTACTAAGGCAGAACTTCACAGCATCCGGATTCCATCCCTCATGGGTTCCTGAGCCATCTCTTGACCCACAAAACTGCTGGTCAACAGGGCCTGGATTCCTCTGCTCACAGTAGTTGTGGACAGAAGAAAGAATGTGAGGCAAGTATTCCTCTGCACACAGTAACCCCAGTGAGACTAAGAACCAAGCTGAAAGATCATTCAGCTGGAACTCACGTGCACAGCAAGTGGCTTCGGTGTCCTGGCCCAAGACTCCTCTCTCCACAGACAAAGCAACCAGGAAAATCAGGTGGAAACCAGCCCAGAGCCTCATCTTGCCTTGCAGAATGTCCCTCCAGCTCTCTGAGCCAGAGGTGTGCAGTCTCTCTCCTCTTATATATATATGGAGGTCTTGATTGATTGTATAAACAGAGAAATCAGGAAATACTTACATTTTCTGACTAAGGCTAAGTATGCCCATATCTGTTTTGCAATGTCTGTTTGTACAAGCTCAGCAGGGTTCATTAATATTCAGGAAGAGGGGTAATCTTGAATTATGCAATGTTCCTCCTCAGTTTCCTTATGCTGAAGAATGTGTGCATTGTAACCACGTTATATCAGGAAAAAAAAATCAAAAACATATTGGGTCAATAAATAATCTTATAAATCCTTGTACTTTCCCTGGTTGGACAAACTCCCATACATTGCTTTACTAAACTTGTTTTAGGGATAAGACATTCACTCTTGAACTGGACTGGTTGCCAAGTATATTGCAACACATTCAGATCTTGCTGAGAAGGATCCCCTGAGCCAATCTCAGCCTGTAAGAGATCCCTCATAGATGATAAGATGACCATATTCCTAGTTCTCCAATAGTAAATTGCTGATTTTATACAATTATTTTTTTCCTAAAAACTGCAGATTTTTTTGGATGCAACATTCATAATTATATAATTAATTATAATTACAGAATTAAAAAATTGCTGAGTTTCCAGGATTAACAACAACATCAACAAAATAATGCCTTTAAACTCTGGTATTGGAGAAAATTGTTGAGAGTATCTTCATTTGCAAGAGAAACCAATCATTCAATGGTAGATGAAGTAAAACCAGATTACTCACTGAAATCATTAATAATGAAGCTGAAGCTTATTTTCTTACACATAATGTGAAGGCCAAAGTTATTGGAGAAGACCCTAAAGCTTGAGAAAATCTAGGACAGTCAAAGAAGAGGCCAACGGAAGGCAAGGTGGCTATCCCTGATGACAAAAGCATATGATTATAAGAACTCAGAGAAGCTGTTTCTGATAGACAATCCTGACAAAATGATGTCCATCAGGTCAGGAAGAGTTGGAAATGACTGAACAACAAAGAAGTCACTTGTCGTCACGAGGCATCATTTAAGTTTTGTAATCTGCCCTGTGAAAACTTGTTTTGAAAAGCAGCACAGACATTTTAAAATGAATAAATGAATCAGTGGGGTTGCACTGCCCCAGACAGACCTGGTGCATAATCTGGGGGTCCTCCTGGACTCACGACTCCTGCTTGAGGAGCAGGTGGCAATCGTGGCCAGGAGGGCCTTTGCGCAACTTCATGTTGTGCGCCAGTTATGCCCCTTCCTTGATCAGGAGTCCCTTCAGTCTGTCACTCATGCCCTGGTCATCTCTCATTTAGACTATTGCAATGCGCTGTACATGGGGCTACCCTTGAAGAGTATCCAGAAGCTGCAGCTGGTTCAAAATGCGGCCATACGGGCAATCTTGGGTGCCCCAAGGATGGCATGTGTAATACCTCTGGTGTGGGAGCTGCATTGGGTTCCACTTTGTTTCTGGGTCCAATTCAAGGTGTTGGTTATCACCTTTAAAGGCCTACATGGCATGGGTCCAGGTTACCTGAAGGACCGTCTCATCCCCATTACATCAACCTGTCCCACCCAGTCCAGCAGAGAAGGCATGTTGCAGATCCTGTCAGTGAGAGAATGTCAATTGTCAGGTCCTAGGAGGAGAACCTTATCTGCCATTGCCCCCGCCCTATGGAATACTCTCCCCCCAGAGGTAAGGTGGGCCCCTACCCTCCCAATGTTTTGGAAGGAATTGAAGACTTGTCTCTGCCAACTTGCATGGGGCAAGGAAAGATCCAATTGACCCTGGGGATGGCTGGCACCTTGACGATGCTCCCTGAAGTTTATTAACATCTAATTAACATCTGCCTCTTGGAAATATTATAAAGGAAGTTTGTTTTTGACATATTTTAATTAATTAATTTTTATCTATTTTAATTAATGTTTATTTTATTTTTCTGTAAACCACCCAGAGCCATTCCATAGTGAGATGGGTGGTGACAAATTTGAAATATAAATATAAATAAATACTTCATTTACAAATGGTAGCCTAAGGTAACTTACTTCAGCTTCTGTTGAACATTGCCTGGTCATTTAAGGACATCATTTTGTATCTTAGGACAACATAAGTGATAAATCAGGTGGTGGTTAGTGATAAAAGAAGTGAAAGGATCCCCCTAAACAGCAGCTTTCAGACGACAAGAGCAGAAGAAAACAAAACAATGGCAAAACATTATTTTAATTCCAGCTGACCTGCTGAGAAACTCTTGGTTGTTAATCTGAGTAGCGGAATAGAACTGAAGGCTGTGCAAAGCTCTGAAGGAGTGCTTTGCTCCAACAGCTTTAAACAAAACTTCCCTAGATCCTGCTTCATGAAGCAAGGTGGTGCCCTTGATTCCTGTGATCTGTGTTGTTACTGCCATCTTTTATTTATTTTTTCTATCTTTGTAGTGTTGCTGTGTTTTTATTTTTGCATGCGGTTTGTTTTACATTGTATTTTTCATGTGTGCTGCCAATAGGCATTTTTGATCAGGGTGGCATACAAATGTGTTAAGTAAATAAATAAATGTTGCTTCATATTTGCTTCATATTCAGTGACTCTCTTAGCCTGAGCTCACACTAAGAAAAAGCTTTCAGGATCTCTTATTTTGAGAAGGAGGAAAACTTCTCATTGTCCACTTTCTCCATGCCATGCATGATTTTATACACCATGTTCCACTTCAGTTGCTTCTTTTCCAAGGTAGAGTCTCTAATATTTTAGTCCTTCCTAATGGGGAAGGTGATCATTTTGATTGCTCCTTTCTTCAGCAGGTCCATGGAAGACAGTCATCCTTGAGCCATTTGATGAGCATTGAAGGACTCCACAGTTGTCTGGCTCCACTGTGGGCTGTGGGCAACTCCAAAGCCATGTGACCTGGGAGCTCTTCAGCCATAGTTGTGAGAGAAGGTGAGGGGCCCTCCTCCCACCACACTGGTCCAAAGCACTTAAAAGCCACTCAGAGGGCTTCATCTGAGGCCAAATGGGTCACCTCTGCACTTTGGTAAATCAAATCATGGCTTGAATCACTTCATCAAAGCCAATCCAAGGGCTCTTCCACAAAGCAGAATAGAGGTTCTGCCTGCACCAGAAATGGGGGGAGGAGAAGAATATCTCCTTTGGTGCCAGACACTGGAGTGATCAGTTGTTGGGATCAGAGAACTGGCAGCAAAGGAACTGTCCTCCCCAGCTTCTCTTCCCCGCCCCCCACAACAGTATAGTTCATTAAGACCCCATCCCATAGAAGATGCTGAAGTAACTCCTCCTGTTCTCAAGGTGTTAAGTGACTATATTGCAGAAAAATAAAACCTGAGCTTGCATGCTAGATGAATGTCATCAGAAACTTATAGCTCAAGATCAATTCCTTCTTGATTTATAAAAACAACCACCCCTGGGGCTGGTACATCTCTCTCTGGGTCCTTTCCGTTGCTGGTTGTGTGCAATACCAAGAACAACTCAAGAAACAAGTTAATACTTTCCAAAATGAGACTCTTTACTCACTGCTCAAAAAAAAAGGATTGAATACAAAAAATTTAAGCTGCAAATTAAAACTTGCTCAATGAAAGCAAACAGTCCCATAGAAGTAAAAGCAGATAGATAAGTCCTTTTCCGCCTGAGCAGCCTCACGTGAAGTAGTCTTCCAAGGGAGCCGAGAGCCGTTTCTCCCTCCCTCGAATGAGATTAAGGCTTGAGATTCGCAGCTTCCTTGAGGAAAGTGGATTCCGCAGATCAACAAAGATACAAAGCCAGTGTCTTCTTCCAAAGCTCCCTCTATCCTCTCTCTATAGCTCCAGGGCTTATCTTAAGTACTCTTTCCA